CCAAAAAAACGGATCGAATATTTACGAAAATAAAAAAAAAACGTATAGGAACGGATCGGATATTTTTTCAATCCGAAAAACGGATCGAATATTTAAAAAAATCCAATATCGGAACGGATCGGATTTCTGAAAATGCTGATCCGACCCATCTCTGCTTTGCATTTACTTCAGTTTAACGGATAATAGATACCCATGTGGAAAGCATGCCTGAGGCAACTTGGTTATTTATACTTGACAGCAGTCAGTTTGTTGGCAGGGTTACTTAGCTGGTCAAGATTATAAATACACCCCTCAACTCATTTGGATAATAAAAAGGCTGAAGAATTTTCCATTTTTCAAAATTTCTCGTAAAGATTGGAAATTAAAGTTAAAAGTTGGACCATGTCAGAAACGAGAACAACCTCTACCTCAAAAGCTTTACAAAATACATTGGTTCGTTAACCTTATTTAGCAACAATTTGAATATTCCGCCATACATGTTCTTTAATCATTTCCAGATACTTGGAAAAATTATCACCATCCTCGCAACCAGTGGGGTGAAGGAGGTGAGAAAGGTGTCTTCCCTGTGGGAATCGGTCGCCAATCCGATTCTAGGGAGACGGACGGTCTTCTCATTTATCAACCAGTATGGCCCGAGGGACTCAAATCCTTCCGTAAAAGTTCAGCTTTTACGACGCATTTATTTCAACTATGTCAGCCTTACTCTGGCTCAACGTGCCAATGATATTCTGGGGATAACAAATCCGCTACATTTCTCCGATTTTTTGGCAAAATATAAAATTTACATTGAAGAGTTAACTTTACACATCAATCACACACTCTAAACAAAATTGAGTAAAAAAGAGGATGACACAACAGTCGAGGTAAAATTTGTCCAAAATTGAGTAAAATTTGCCCAACGTTGTGCGAACAAGGTGCATCATCATCATAATTTTACTCAATGTTGGACAAATTTTACCTCGACTGTTGTGTCATCCTCTTTTTTACTCAAGGTTGGGCAAATTTAGTACAACTTTTTTTTAGAGTGCAAGTTTCAGCCTGTGATGGAAGGATTACAGGGGATGGGAAGTTTCACAAATCTTGTCAAATTTCAAGTTGAAGTTCACGATTTGGGATATGATTATGACACGTGTGAACTTAGCCCAGTCCAAATTTCCCATGACTTGCCTAATCTGAAGGAATTCAAGATTGTTAGTTACCGTATTAAAGGACAGGACGGGATTGGACCATTTTATCGAGAAATGACGACACTAATGTTGAAAATGGCGCGCAACTTGGAACGATTAATAATTTTGGATAATTTCTGCCCAGATTTGTCGAACTGTAAGAAATTGAAATATTTGGAGTGGCTGTGCAACCCGTACAAATGGACGGACTCGTATCTTTCTGAAATGTAAGTTGAATAAATGATACAAGTTATTTCATTTGAGCAAAGGCGGATTGATTTTTCACAGTTTTATTTAAAATGTCGAACTTTCAAAAGCGTAAATTCCAATTAACTAATGGCGTGTATTTTAAATATTTACTTAATTTTCAGGATCCTTTGCAGAGAGTTTGATATAACAAAATTTGTCGGCATGCTGGCCATGATTTCAAACACTTTGGAACGTTTAACCTTCGGTTTGAGAGATTCGTACTATTCGACTCCCCTGCCAAGAGTGCACTCTAAAAAAAAGTTGTACTAAATTTGCCCAACCTTGAGTAAAAAAGAGGATGACACAACAGTCGAGGTAAAATTTGTCCAACATTGAGTAAAATTATGATGATGATGCACCTTGTTCGCACAACGTTGGGCAAATTTTACTCAATTTTGGACAAATTTTACCTCGACTGTTGTGTCATCCTCTTTTTTACTCAATTTTGTTTAGAGTGTGGTGGTTAGTCGTTTTATAATTTTGCACCGACTTTTCTGAAATGTTGCATAAATTTATTGTTCGAGTAAAGTAGAATATCGCTGGCTTAGTGAGTAATTCAGCCAAGTCCAAATCGTGTCATTTTTTTCGCCAAAATGTTTTTCGCCAAACTGACCGGATACCTAATTGTTAGCAGTATTACTCACTAAGCCGACGATATGTACACTCTTAGCAACTTGGTAAATTACCAATGTTAATAAATAAAAACAAGCGGAGTAGATATATGACTCTACCGCGACGGAATTAAAAATTTACACCAGGTTGGTATAGATTTAGTAATAAAATAACACTTTTTGGTAATAATTTTGACACTAATTTGTGTTATTTTTTTTACCATATAGTATTGTTTTAATACCAAAGCATTACTATCGCGGTAGAGTCATATATGCACCCCGCGCAGTAATGATTCATTGAATTTTTGTTTAGAGTGTAGTGTACAAGGCATAATCCTTATGATTGCATATCTCTCTCTCTCTCGATTCTTCAAAGTGCATGGGGTGGTTTGATCGTTAGAGGCTAATATTTCCTAAAAATTCACTATTGGACCTGTTTTTTCGTTGTACATACATACCCACCTTTTTAGAAAAATGGGCGAAAAAAAACAATTCAATGCAGAAAAGTACTTATTTTTTATAAAAAAATAAAGCTTTTCAGTAGTAGGTAAAGCAATCGATAACCAGCTTGTTCCTATTATTTGGTCATTTCTTTAGGAAACTTAAATCTAGCTTAATTATACATCTCTTTTTACAGATTGATCCTCACACCATACCAACTCTTAAAAAACTGGAAGCCTTATCCTTGCCAGCTGTTAATGTTCTTGACCTGGATTTCGCAAACCTGACCTCGGAAGAACTACCCAATTTAAAACGTGTCAAACTGACCACCACCATTCGTACCCCATTTGTAGAGAGATCCCTCCCAAACTATCTCTTTATGGTTATGCCGTCAAGGACTATGGTAATAGAAGATTTAGAGATCGGACAACTCGTCGGATATCTCGCAAGATCGGTTTTTCCAAATTTGCCTTGAAACACTTGACCATTCAAGTTTCTGGAGTATTGGATGAATCCACAGATCTTGATGGCTGGAAAGGATTTTTCAGAAATTTGTACCAATCCCCGATAAACATATCGCGATTGACAATTTATATGGGAATCTGGTCATCATTTTCTAATTTAATGGGGGCGATGGATGTTATGGATGACCTAAATCCAGTGGAGGGTAAGAATGGTGGAACTTTTAAATTTTGTATTTTTATCCACCATGTTAAAATCCTTATCTCATAAACAAATTGTGAAGGTGCAGGTTTCAAAAATTAAAATTAGTGCTACTTATTTTATGAATAACCCTTTCCTTTACTAAAGGGTGAAACGAGGCGAAATCCCTTTATGGGAATGTCTTGTCTGTCCGTGTCCAGGATAACTTTAGAACCGATGCGGTTTTCGCTAATGTGTTTCGAATTTTTGATGTACGGATGAGTTCAAAGATGGGCTTTGTAGGTCATAAGGTCACGGCGCCATGGTGATGACTCCAATGTTCGAAGATGTCGAAATTTTTTATTTTGACAGTTTTAGACGTAGTTTTGGGCGGGGATTTCAAAAATTGGCATCATTTTGACGCAGATTTCTATTACAGCATACATATCTTTCACTGGATAACTGTTGCATTCGGGTTCTTTTTCGTTCACGAGAAGGCTTGACATTTGACTTCATTTTGACAAAAAAAAATAGTTCAAAAATATAACAGGTGCAAAAGTTTTAGCCGAATTGTTACCGAAGGGAGAGTGACGGAAAGAAATTTTCCGAACGCAGCGTGTGTATGTATGACCGTGTGTTTTCACTCCCCTGCTACATTTCGTTTGCAACGGTTTATTTAGTACTTATTCTGAATTTCATTGTGTTTCCTTATTTGTATTTAGATCTCAAGTGTCAGCATCATTAATGGAGCCCCCCAAACTCACAATTACCAATATGACTCACAACGCACCAAGTTCGAAAATGTGTTTCGAACTTGGCAGCCAAATTTATCCTTTGTGGGATACGAGGTATGGAATTTCATATTTTTAGGAATTAAAGTGTTTTGATGATATTATAATCTAACGTATTTACTACTTGTTTATTATTAAAGTTCAAACTTCCCGCGGCTACTCGAATGAAGAAATTCATCAAGGAAAATAATTTGGGCGTTAGTTTTGTAGACAAAATTGATCACTGATACAAGTTCTACCGTAGATATTGGCTTGTGAAACTGCTCGTCAGGAAGCAATGACGATATTAAAATATGCAGCCTACACTGAAAATAAAGTCTTGAAAATTCGTTTAAGTACTTAAGGTTTGCACTGTTTACAGATTAAAAGTGTTTCTTGTTGCGTGAACAAAGTTACTTTCATGCATATGCACATGCTCATGTAAAACATGGATATTACATATGTATTTCATGCATAGTAAGTAAAATATGGATTCATTTTACTCATTTAGTTTCCACCATTGATGAAGATTAGATCATAATTATATAAATATTTTAATCGGTTATTTTGCGCCATTAAAACTAAATAATGTCAAAATTGTGTATCTATTTTAACCGTCTATTTTAACCGTGTACAAGGGGTGCAAAATTATGTAAAAATAATTATTACAGGGTGACCTACTTCTAACGTTACAACGGTTCATTAGCAAATATTAACAACAATTGTAAACATTTGTAATATTTGAAACTTTAAGGCAAATCGGGATCCCTAAAGTGGTCGAGAATTGAATCCCTCGCATTGGGAAAAATATCCAATAATCCATTGTAAAACGGACTTCCCTCGTTCTGTCGTGAATTTCCTGGACGTTTGAAACCAACCCATTTCACAGACTCAACAACTCGACCCGGATTAATTGTAAGTTGGGATGGAAGAAAAAGATGAAAACAAGGAACGGCCCTACATCTCGAAGAAACATGTAAAGTTTCCAGGACCGGGAAACAATTTGAGTAATCAATCCGTCCAAAATTTCCTGACTCGAAACTACTCTCAAATTTTAGACTGCGATAGAATTCACTGTTACAAATCCTTAAAATTTTCAAAGCAGGAAATGCCGGGAAAATCTAGCCCAACTGGGTGTGAGGTAATATATCGATACAAAGGTTTTCCAGACTGAGAGAATGTTTTTTTAACAAGGTGTACATAATTGTAGGAATTTCGGAAATAAGATCATCATTATGGTCGAGTTTAATCGCATAAAACGCAAGTTTCTTCAAAGGACCGGGAATTTCCAGTAAGCATTCCATATTGTTGTTGTCTAAGCCTCCAAACAATTCCAAGGTGTTCAGTGATCTGAAAATTAATAAAAAATATTTAGTCTCCTCTAAGTCTATTTAAAAAAATCAATTGGGTCTGGCATCGACGAAAAGTAAAAGATATGTTAATTCCATTATTAAGCCCACTTTTTTCTTATGAGTTACCAAAAAAACGAGATAATTCAAGGCAAACATCGATGAGGGTATTCATGCAGTGTGGGCATGTGGGCAGAGCCAAAAGTTCGCAACTAATTTTCCGCACAGAAAACTTGTTGCAAATGTTGTGAAATTTATTATTTTGCGATACGCTACTCATATAATGAATACCCCCAATACATATAACACCCAACGACATTTACGAGCTTGTAAAATTGTGCATGTTTAATGAATCCCTCTCCAATCCTGAATTTTTGTCAATATTCCCTTCCAAAATTGACACTTACCCCGGAAAGTTTTTCAGGAAACCAGCCTTTCCCAGTTCAAGTAGGTGACGAGTCTCAATTTGTATCTGTTCTATCGCTGTGAACGCTTCCGTCACTGCGTGGCCAATCCTCTCGAGCGATTCATTTCTAAGTTGGGCTGGATAACTGATTTCCAGTCTTTTCAATTTCGAGAAGCTCTTCCCGCAAAGGGATGGAAAAACATGGTAATTTTCCCATTTAAACTGTAACCTTTGCAGACTCGTGGGCGACATGCGAATGAGTCTGAGAACCGAGTCCTTCTGCCACTGAACGTGATGTGGGGTGAGGAATTGGATCGAAATTGATTTCATCTTGCGAACAGGATCAAACGTTTTGGGGTCAAAGGACGGCTCAACGTATTCACGTTGGCTGTATTTGTAGGAAAATTTTATGTCAATGTTGACCGGGCAAAATTTTAGTTTTTCTGCGACAACGTCATGATCGGTCGAGTTTTCTGGATGGAATTCAATCCCTATCTGCGTCCTGAGCTTGAGGGCGTGTGTGGCACCTACGTGCCACGATTTGGACACGAAACGACACTTTTTGATGTCAGGAATTGATAGGAATTTGCAAACTAGTGGAATCACCTGGCAAAGCAAAATATAAGTGTATCATAATCGCACTAATTCTAAAATTATCTATGTGCACGGGTTTCTTAATTCTAAAGCCAGCTATGTGCAGTCAGTGCTTAATTCTAAAAGGTGCTACATAAGTGCAAGGGAAGAACCAATGGTGTGAACAGTACACTTAGCTGATTTCAGAATTAACGAACGACTGCACATAGCTGATTTTAGAATTAAGAAACCAGTGCATATAGATCATTTTAGAATTAGTAGGACGATATGTAAATTACTGGTGAAAAAGCCAAAAAATCGAAAGTGTTGATGATATGTATCGTCGGCTTAGTGAGTAATGCAGCCAAGTCCAAAACGCCGAAATCAAGCCAATAGCAACTTACCAGTAGTAAGTCACCTATTTTGTACGGGACTAGGTCTGATTTCTTTTTGACGTGTTTTGGACTTGACTGTATTACTCACCCAAGGATATACGGAATTGTCAAAAAACATGGGAACTAATTTTTTTCTTAAAAATTCATAAAAAATATGTTCGAGGCAAAAATGTATAATTTTTCATTAACAAGACGTTTTTCCAAAATTGTATAAGACTAGCTTCGGAGAAAGAGGTACATGGTCCTAACGGTGTTGTCACAAAACCAAAAACGCTCTTACACGTGTACGCGCGTTTTTTCTCAAAGTGCCCCAAATTTTTCGTTTTGCCCCAAACGCACGGAACGCTGATTGTGACGCTATTATCCTGCCGATTTTCTCCACACATGGCATGTAATCCTAATTTAGGGTCGGTCAGAGCGTTCCAGAGAATTGACCGTTTAGGCTGAAATTGATAATGCCAACTACCTGAAATTTTTGGCAATGTTTTTCGTTTTTTAGAAATATTTCCAAAATTTATGAAATGGTATTGTTCCAGCTGCATATCTCTACAGAAACCCTATATTCTGGTTTGAACGCCGTTGGAGTGAAGCCTCTAGCTCAAGTATTAAAGGTACTTTGTAGGAACATCGACGACGGTCGAAATTGCTACAAAGTGCCCTTAATGCTAACTTTCCTAATGACCGCTTGTTTTATTTGCTTCAAATTTTGGTATGTTATTGACCCTTAGGAGGCGAACATAGTTAAATTACCCCAAAGTCGAAATCGACCTGAGTGACCTTGTTTTAGAGGTCAGCGGGACAAATCAGAAGATAAAGTCTCACATATGTCCTATGTGGGGTGACCAGTCTACTCACATAAAAGAGATAGCCAGGCCAGCGGCGGTAGCACATTAAAGGCTAATTGCCGACAAGTCTCACATATGCGGTATCGTTCGAAAGGTCTCGGTGAGGGGATTCATAATATGTATACGCTGTGGGGTCTTGGACCACTCTCTGATGTTCCAGAGACAGGAGAATACTTTTGAGTTTATGTGCATTGATTGTCATATGAGGTCCCAATCTGCTGCAGTGTTAAATTTTTGAGAATTGACAATTTTACTTCCGAAGCTAGTCATAAGCTTGTTATTTAACTGAAAATTGAAACTTATTGCATGTAATTCTCATGCATTTTGGGGAAAATAATTTCCCATGTTTTTTGACAACTCTATACAATAATGAAGATAAGTTAATAAATAATTTTTCGAAGTTAGGATGTAAAACCAGGTTTTTTACATCAGGGATAAGCTCTGGATCCTCCTCATCATCAGAATAAGGCATGGAATCCCCTCCCTGCAAAATATTTAAGATAATCAAAAAAATAAACAAGAAGCATCTATGTTCTCAATTGTTTCGCACCATTTTGAGTCTCCGATTATTCGATATCAGTGGTGCTAATAAGTCGGTCAGGAATGCCAATAACTGGCTCTAATTAGCATGAATTGATGCAAAAGAGTCGTTAACAGACAGACGGACGGACGGACGGACAAGAGGAATTCAATAGCTCCTCTGCTGCGCAGGGTGAGCTAATAACTATAATTTTTACTTCCAATTTATCAAGATTTCATGTCAAAATTATGGCGTCTTTTCCCTCGTTCTTGTTAAGTTAGAAACATTGGTCTCCAACCTATAAATAGATCATTCAATTCGTTTTGTTAGATATGTACGTGATCATATTATTTCATCACAATGCGTATTTTTGTGTGTACCAAATCCATATCCAACGATAAACTTGCGTACCATGTGTGCCTCTTTATTTATTAAGTAGCGCAAGCTACTTTATGCGATCGGTTAGTTAGTCTGTCCGTCCGTCTGTCTGTCTGTCCTACTGTCTGTCTGTCTGTCTGTCCGTGAGTACTAAAACTCGAGAACGGTTTGTCGCAGCGACCTGAAATCTTTAACACATGTTCATCACGGGGGTGGGGTGACACCCTATTAAGGGGGTGTGGCCACTGTGTCGACATCATGTCGAAAAACGTCGCCATGGCCTAATTTCTGGATTTTTTGGGCGATTTGCATGAAATTTGGACAAAACATGTTTTTTAGTGTTGTCGACATGTCGCAATATGGCGACTAAGGTTTCGACGACAAATTTTATCGCCATGCCCTAATTTCGGCATTCTGCGGTCGATATGCATGAAATTTAGGCAAAACATGTTTTTCTGTGTTGTCGACATGTCACAGTATAGAGCATGTGGTCAATTAATTAATTAATCAATCATTAATCAATTAATTAATCAATCAGTCAATCAGTTAATTAATTAATTAATTAAAGTAATTAATTGAGAATTAATTTGAGCTTTATAGCGCAAATTAATTCTCAGCATTCTCAGCATTCTCAGCATTATTGCGCTACTTATGTATCGTGCTTTGCCGCAATTTATTTAATATGCATCGACTTGGATGCACTATAAATTTGTAATGATGAGAGGAGAAAATTATGATTTGCAAAACAATGCAGGTTTTATCCATGGGAAGATAGGCTTTTGTTGGTAAAGTATACGTACACAAAATAAAATGTGGATTGGATAGAATACCAAATCACATAAATGGATCACACGTGCATAAATGGATTCCGTATCTTTAGACACACCCATGTATAAATCAATGAATGTATGTGTGGTGATGAATATAATTTTGGTGGTGAGAGTATGCAAGATAACCCTGCTTATCGACAAGAACTGCCACGTCGACAAAAAACTCCATCCTGAGTAGCCATTTTGTGGAATACTTCTTTACAATATGTTGAGTGTTAAAATATGTAGCATTCGTTTTTTTTCGCTAATTTTTGCGTAGATTTTTATTTGCGACATTTCCACAAGAGGTGCAGTGACGACTAAAACTTATTCATCAAGAGCTGTTCTTATATGAATTTAGTGTACATATCGTAACTTCGAGACGGTTATAAATCTTGTTACCGGAGCCAGCGTAAGTTCTCGTCACACAAGTTTTTATTATCATTTAATATTGAGCTGAAGGTTTGCAAGCTATATATTCCTGTCATATTACTTAATTTAGAAAACATAAATTCAAGATAAACACAAGACAAAATATTTTTTGGTACACGTTTTTTTATGAAAATATCTGATCAGTTTTATTTAATTTGCAGATCCTTAACAACCTAAATTTACTTAATTCGTGTAAAACAGAAAAAGTTAAAAAAAATAAAATAATTGTAAAATGTTAAAATGGCAAAAGTATTGTTTCGTTATGCCCCTCAGAGATACCTAATTACTCAAATTTAATAAAAATATTAACATTATTTTAAAATTAAATTAAAGTAGCATTTAAATTAAAATAACGTTTACATACATTAAAATGACATTTAAATTAAAATAACATCTTAATTCTAACAATATTTAAATTAAATCAACCTTTAAATTACAATAGTCTTTCAATTAAAATTTCAGTTTAAAAATTCCGAGTGAACAATGGCATCTTCACAGTCGGAAGGAATACTTGAAAAAACTATTAAGGAAAACTTCACCGAGCTCAGAAATGCGTTGGCTGTGAGTGGGAATTTGCTAAGCTGTCTCGAACAGAATAAAATTATCACGGATGAGAAAGTGGCATCTTTGGTAATTTATTAGTAATAATTTATTACGTATTATTCACAATCTTAAATTTACTAATCGCAATGTAAACATTTCTGGTTAATTAAAGTCTTTCTATTTAAGGGAAAGATTGACGGAAATGGAAATAAGGCGGAGGCATTGCTTAAAATCCTTCGTGATTCAAGAACCGATTCTGACATACCCGTGATTATGAAAGCTCTCAGTGACGACATTAGCAGCAATAGCAAAGTTCTTAAAATATTTGAGCAGTCCATGGCAGGTATCAAAAAGAGGTTTAAATATGTTTAGATAATTTATGAGCAGGACATTGATCAATTTGTAAATTGTGACTCTAATTATGAACAAGGAGCAGCATCTTGTCTGATAAACAGTTAAACGTTATAATTTCTAAGTTCCCGCAGGAAATTTTGCCGCGCATTGAGTTACATTGAGGATATTAATTACGAGGTCGAATCTTTAGCGACATTAGCAGAAAAAATTGTTTGAAAATTGGCTTGTGAATTTACGGACCTTCAATAGTTTCCCAAGTAGAAATTGGGAAAATTCACGTAAAATTCACGTGAAATATCTGTCACTTGGCCGCAATTGTCACATGGAATTAACGTGACATAGACGATAAGTGTGAACTTCACGTGAAATTCATGCAAATTTCAAATTTACCTGAAATTCACGTGAATTCCATGAGACAAATGCGGCCAAGTCACACATAGTTTACGTGAATTTTCCCAATTTCTATTTGGGTTAACCAGATTGTGTTCAAAATCACATCGTAATGCGATCAGGGAATGTCCATATATGACGTTGTCATTTTAGTGAGTGAATGGTTTTGGTCTACTTATTTTGCGGCGTTAAAATTCCTTATCCCTTAATGTTTACGTTGGGTGCTAAAATCGATAATTTTTGATGACATAATATATGGATAATCCATCATGCAAACTCCTAATGAATATCCCCATTGAATCTTTTAACTTAAAATTTTGAGTAGCCACTCCAACTCTAGTTCCAATTCTCATTCATAGTACCACCGTAAAAACAGTTTACGAAGCACCCAGAATGGATCAAGCTTAGTATAAACCGTATCATCGTACTAATTCTAAAATGAGCTATGTGAAGTCGTTTGCTAATTCTAAAACCAGCTATGTGTGGTCAGTGCTCAATCCTAAAAAGATCCAAGTGCACCATAAGAACCAATGGTGTGAACGGTGCACTTAGCTGGTTTCAGAACTAAGAAGTGACAGCAACTTGCTGGTTCTAGAATTAACGAACGACCGCATATAGCTCGTTTTAGAATTAAGAATGTTTAGTAACGGAATTTTTAATAGTATAATTTATCGAAACCTACATACGAAATCTCTGATAGTAGTCTCCGTAACTGATTTCGCGACACGAAAGATTCACGAGAAGTAGTGAAACTTTCATTGTTAATTTGCATGCTAAACTGGATTTCTAATCGAATTGAGTCTTACAACTTTTTAATCTTTAATATAATTTAATATCCCCACAGCCGGATCCCAACTTCGACATGATCACTTTACCAACCCCATAACTTGTTTAAGAAGAGGTAATGGGTTAACCTGCTTTGAATACATGTGTAACTAATTAATTAAACTTTGCCCAATAATGAGCCATAAAACCTTGATAAAACCTGGAGATTTTGAATTTAGAAACTGACTGCAAGGCTGAGAACTTCGCTCAGATCCCTCAAATTCCCTTCCTCCCTTTTCCAAAGCCTGATAAAAATTTCACTGGCAGGACGAAATTTATGGACGATGTGATCAGTGCTCTCCAATTAAGTAAAAATCCAAGTCATCAGATCGGCTTTCCTCTCGTCGACCTCCATGGTCTTGGCGGGCATGGGAAAACTCAAACTGCACAAAGCATCGCAGAGCGTTGTACCAAAAATAAGATATATATAAGATATATATAAGATAAATATATTCTCTGGCGTGATTTGGATTGATGCCGAAGAACAAGCTGGAATCATAGAAAAAATCACTAGAGAATTAAAAAATCAAGGAATTAAGCACTTGCCAGAAAATGATGGGATCTTACTTGCCAGTAAATTTTACGATTCAATAGCTTCCAAAAGTCCCAACAAAATTCTAGTCATATTTGACAATGTGGAAGGATTTCAAGAAGTCGAGAAATATTTACCAGTTAACAGAAATGTGGATAATATAGCGGTCCTACTCACCTCGGTGGAGAAGATTACAATTGCAATTGGAATGGGGGAAATTGACACTTATAAAGTGGATATTTTGGGGGAAGATGAAGCGAGTGAGTTGGTTGGTAAAATACTGAAAGGTAATTAAAAAGTTTGTAATAACGTGTTACCAATTCGTCCAGATTTTGTTATTATGGTAACAAATTCGTCCAAAATAATAACTATACTGTAAGAAATCGGACCATACCCAGAAATAAACGTGCATGAGTCGATCGCAGTGGTTGTAAAATTATCAACGACTGGTTATAAATTTTTACACGTCACGGTAAATTACTAAATTCAAGCCATTTTTGTATAACCACGGCGATGCAGTTGTGTACGTTTCGTAACCGAATTTCTTAAAGAGTAACAATATGAACATAAATATTGTTACTTTGTAAATTTGTTTTAATAGTTCATGTGTTTTTTTAATTAATTTAGTAGGTTCAATTGTTTGCACGAAATCTGAAGTTTCCCTTCTTGTGGCTGAGTCTGGACGAATACCAGTAACTCTCTGTATCATGGCAAGAATTATTGTCAGCGTTAACATGGGAGGCTCAACATACAGCATAACTAAGCTACTACAAGAAATGAAGGATAAATCAAAACTACTCAGATATCCAAGTGGTCCCAAACATAATCTAGACTTGCAATACAAGAAAAGCTTGTACACTTGTGTGAAAATTGCTCTGGACAAATTGCAAGAATCCAAGGATGTGTATGCTCCCATGGCCATACATTTCATTGAAGGATGCGCCTATTTCCATAACGAGTGTCCCATTGATTATTTCCTGAATCATGTCACCACATTCAAACAGGATATAGAACAAGTTTTAATTGAAGTTTTCGTCCCACTTAAACCAATGGAGGTTTTGACAAATGCCATCCGGCTCCTCTCAAGATTTTCATTGATTAATACCACACCTGATAAAAAATACGAATTTGGGATAAAGGTAGAAATCCATCGTCTTGTGCAAGCCACAGTGAGATTAATACAAAAGTACAAAGAACGAGATCTATTGGAAGAACTCATCTGCTGCAAAGATTATCCTAAATTTAAATCGTTAGACCAGGGTGGCAAATTGAAAGAAACATATTTTCTTTCTCACCCAACCGCCATTCTTTGGTCGCACGCATCAAACCATGAGGATCTTATTAGGTAGATCTCATTTATTCGTTGTCGCAACGGCAGACTATAAAAATAATAATAATTCTTTTAATCCCCACCAGGAAATATTTCATCGAGAGAGGATCACTATCGAACATGATTTATTACGGATTTTTCAATGAGGTTAGAAAAATCGTTGAATTACTCGGAGAAAAAGAATCAGCCAGGAAGATACTTCAGGTCGAACCCAAGGATTTCGATTCGATGTTCCTCGAAACGGATTGGGATCTGCCATAAAATATGATTTCAACGGACTCGGGCGGTATTTTATGAGAATACTTCGAGATAATCTAGGTGACGTTGACGAACTACTGTTTAACGCTGGGATACGTATCGCTTTAAGCTTTTGCGTAAAACACACGAATCTCCACACGGTGACAAAATTGGTGAAAGAGTTCGCCTTGGACGAAGATAATATTTTTCCTACTTTACTTATGCAAGCGATAACCTGTAAAAAATGGGACATTCCAGAGTATCTATTGGCCAAGAGTACACATAAGGATTTGCATGTCAAAGGGATGCGTGGATACACTGTCTTATATTTTATGGTTCGTAGTGAATGGGACGGAAAATCGGAAATAGCGCTTGCTATTGCAAATACAATTATGTCAATATGTCCGGAATTGATATATGAAAAAAATGACGATGAAGAATTGCCTTTAAATGTCCGCTAAGCTTGGGCGGGATGGTGCCCTCAATTTTCTACTGATGAATATGTCCGATATTAAGTCGCAAATTGATTGCCCTGATAAGTATGGAAATACTGCACTGATGCTGGCAATTCGAAATTTGAAGGAAGGACCGAAAGTCATTCAGATTTTGATAGAGGCCGGAGCCAATAGTCATTACCAATATTCATTACGTGTGTTCTGAGCGCCTGGCATTATGCATTATGTTTTCGGGTTAATTACAGCAAAGTCAGACTTGTACTAAAATCCTAATAGAAAATGAGGTTTCCCCATACTGTCTTGATAATAAGGGTGACACATTTTTCCATTCTTTTATGAAGGGGCAGTTTAGTAATGCGGTGCCATCGGAAATTAACCAACTATCGGAGTTTATAACTTCAAATAAATTGGGGGAAATATTTGACTCTAAAAATGGATATGATCTAACAATTTTGGAGTTGGCCGAGAGACTCAAGGTTTCTGACCCAAGGGATTATTTGGACAATGCTGCCAGAAAAAAGCGTTTCCTAGAGAATTTGGATGTTGTTATTGGTTTTGTTAAGCACTTTAAACAACTAAATTAATAATATGAACCTAATGTCACTAAATTGCTTAAAGATTTATTTTTTGTTCAATAATTAATGTAAGAGACAAATTAAAACAATGGTTCATTATCAATGGACCACATTAAATTATAAAAAACGTTATTTAAACTGCGTAGAAAGACAACAAGCAAACTATCAAATCTATCTAAAACACCTTAAAAAGCACACTCATTCGGAAACTGGTGTTAAATCGACACTGCCCGCAGCGCAGATTCATACATGTCTTTACTGGCACGGTGATAACGCGTATTATGTGGTGTGGTGATTAAAAATTTACCGCTCAGAAACAGGCTACTACCACTCGGGGATGAAATTATTACCAAATCAATACCAATACAGAGTGTACATTTATTTACATAACTTCTCGGAATTTGCCGGATTTCTTAGTGTGCACAATTTACATAAGTAATTTAATAGAATCGCCTCGAAATCTACTTCTTTCCAAACTTACCGATCAAGTAAAACAAACTAACGATGTCGTATGCATGGATGTAGTAGATTTATTTTAAAATAGATTTCATAAATGAATTTTTAGTTTTTTGCCATGTGAACTTACTTCTCAGATTTTTGTTTACTTATATAACAACAAAATTACATACCTTTAACAAAATTGTCATACCTTTATTTAAAATTCAAATTAATAAAAGTATTAATTAACTAATCAGCAGGGAAACTATGCTAACAACTTGATAAAGTCATACACAAATCAGTGTGTCAGCGTGGTGATTCTTTGAAATTAGGACTTCAAATTCCAAGAAGGCAAAGCTGACGGGGAAATTCAGGGGGAAATATTTTCTTTCCGAGTGGATGGGTAAGTAATTGGTCCAGAGGCATGTCAAGACCTACCACGGAAATTAAAAAAACGAAGGCAAATTATCAGTGCACCCTTTGTGACTAACGAGGTCAACCGGTCATCTATTGATGAATACGCCCGATATCCTTATTACCGGCCTAAACTGGAAATGGTAAGAAAAATAGCTTGTACCAAAATATGTATGTCAGGTTATCTAAAATTTTATATGAGTACTTGTTAGCTTTGCAAAATATGCAAAATATAAATACGCAGCTTGGCCATTATGCATGAAGGGTTCTGTTATTTCGAGTTGAATCACAAGGACAATAGAACCTCCGAGCAAGCTATACTTATAAATAACCCAGATTTTGTTGGAACTTGGTATGGCTGCACAGGTGTTCATGTAAAGGTGAAGGTAACGTATATACGGATACAAGAACTAGGCAAATCTTGTTTTCATGGAGCTCTCTCAGCCTACATACATATGCGCTCGGATTTTGGTAGAAGTAAATAGTCTCAATCAAACACGAAAATCGAAAAAACAGTTGTATTATTTTTACCTACTGAAATTTATATTGTGGTTGAATTTCATATCACATACATTAGTACACTATGTTGGAAAAGCCGACTATAAAAGTCTTTAAAACACTAGTATTAAACTTTGTACCGTATGGTATTAAGTTTTTATATTTATTAGTAAATCATTAACAAGGCGGTAAAGTCACATATCAATTTCTTTAGAGTGTGGTATTTGGTACTTAGCACAAAATACCTGTGTAGTAAATTATTTAATAGTTATTGAATCATTTATGTACATTTTATGATAGTTAAATATTTCTATATCTGTATAAATATGTTGCACTCATTTCACACTTTAGCACATCTATTGTTGTATTATTTAGTCAAAACTGAAATTTAACTGATTACGTGTTTGAAGTAACTTTGTTATTAAACTAAACGTTTTAAATGAGAACATGACCTAAATTGCAAAATAGAAAATACTACGTGGTAGACAGGGTTTCGATTGGTAAAAACCAAATTGACCAGGGCAGTGGGAAAAAGTGGGAAAAAGGCACTTTTACCATCCACCCAAAATAAGTGGGAAATGGGAAAAATGGAAGAAATGGGAAATACTGTGCTTTGAGGCGATCCGAAACAACTTCTGTAAAACTTAATATTTTCAAAATCTGAGTTCATATTCGTATTCTCCATAAGAAAATAAGTGGGTAATACGGTTAAAATCGAGCAATCTTTAAAATTAGCATGTATTCATATGGAAAAATGGGGAAAAAGTTCAAAACTGTTCAAAACTGTTCAAAAGTGGCCGTATTATATACCAAAATTTTCAGAATTTGATGGAGATGACGAATATGAAGTCGAATTCCGAAAATATTGAGTATTAAAGAAGTTAGCTTTCCCCATTACTAAACACATGGGCCGCTATTTTTCCCGTTTGGACGGTAAATACCATTTTTCCCGGTTTTTCCCACTTTTTCCCACCTGCCGTGGGAAAAAATAGTTTTGGACGGGAAAAACGAAACCCTGGTGGTAGAGCTGTTATCTAGCTGCTAAAATAAAGTAATGTTAATAATGAGCACCATTATGCGATGCACTTCCGCCTAAATGTAAATACTTCTATGTTCGATTAAAAAATCCCTCAATCAAAAAAATGCTTCTTAAAAAAGAAATGAAATTTATTACAAATAAATAAATAATATTTACACAAATTAAAATAGATTTCATAAATTATTTTTTTGTTTTGTGCCATGTAAGCTTACTTCGGCCAGATAACTTCTCAGATTTTTGATTACTTTATGTTTTTTTGAGGAAAAGTAGTGTAAAGGGATCAAATTTATTCATGACAGAAGTAAAGACAAAAAATGCATAATAACAAAATATCTCGACATTCTCACAAACTTTTATTTAAAATTCAAATCAATAAAAGTATCCATTAACCCATCAGCAGCAAAATCAGAGTAAAATATGCCGACAATTTGATATCATTATCAGCGTGTCCATTCCTTGACATTAGCATAGCAAATTCCAAGGAGGCAATGCTGTCGAGGAATTCTGGGGGAAACATTTGCTTTGCGAGCGGATCCATATGTAATTGGTCCGAGTTTGTGGTATGTACGTCCATGAAATAAGGAAAATCTATGGTAAATTGTGAATGGAAGGTGAGTGGGTGGCGGACAGAGGAGAATGTCCAAGTCATCCCTTGCTTGTGGTCCCTTTTGTGTCAGAAATATACCTTTTTCATGTGAACCTTTTTTCACACTTGCTTTGAATTTTGGGTAGAATCGTTAGTCGTTCAAGTTTATTAAGTAGCGTCAGCTACTTATTGTTATCACTTTGTCCGTCCGTCCGTCTGTCCGTCTGTAAGCAGGATATCTCAAGAACGTGTCAACAGAATTAAACGCGGGTTTCGCAATTTTGCTTCTAATTTTTAATTCTCGGTCGAGTTCGATAATGGGGTCAATCGGACCACCCCCCACAGCGGGAGGGGGTGTGTTGTGGCCGGAACTTCAATTTAACCTTAATTTTCATATGGGGTATCATATTAAAGGAAATTTCGCTACGAACTCAACGACGACATATTTTTTACCTTTGACCTCGTCGTTAGGGTCAGGAGGTCAAAAAACACTTAATGGGATCTCATTTTAAAGGACATTTTGATACGAATTTTGACACGACGACAATATTTTTGACCTCTTGACCGTGGCGATGAGTTCAAAGGTCAACAAATACAGAATTGTCATATTTGATGTCATATAAAGAGAAACTCTGACGCTACTTTTTAAGTATGCTTGGAGCGTTTATTCTAAATATGCACCAAAAACTGCATTCGCAGCGAAAGGTTCCTTTCCTTGTTCAGCCCAACTGCAAACATGCTTTCGTAAAAGTAGTCTTACTCTAGGTTTTGTTAGCATGGGAGGGTGTCCTACAAGTCCTATGTATCAGTTCAAGTTATCACATGTTCAACCACATTTTTCTCACGAAAAATGACTTGCACTCATATAAATATCTGATAAAAATACTTCATAAATCAGAGAGTTTATTAAGTAAATAAATCCGCATATTACACTGGTTCAGCATAACTCTTGGGAGAAATTGATTTGAAAATATTCCCATTTCAGTAAGAAATAAATTAATAATTACAACTTAGAATTTACCCTTTTGCAGAGACCACTAACACAAAAATGGGAATTTGCATTTCGGTCTTACATAAATCATGGTATAATTTTTAACAGAGGAATTTAACCTACTTAACACATAGAATGGAATCCAACCAACATAATAATTTTAAGTGTGCTAAGTGCTCAAAAAGTTTCAAATGGAGGGGGAATCTGGAGAAACACGTTGGTTGGTTGGTTGGTAGTCATTTATTCACAGGTTATTCCTTAATCAGTACAATTTAATGACTGGTTTACATCAAGTAACACTAAAAAATAGATTGAGAGAAGACTTAAAATTAACTACATAATTCGCTCTTATAAATTATTGTTCTCTTATAACCTAACAAAATTATTACCACGCTTTTTCATGACAAACTCCGTGATACGACTTCGTACGTTACCAGCTATCTGCACATTTTCATCTAGTATTTCTTCTATCATTTCCTTGTCTAAAGTATTCCACATTTTAATTGAGTAATAACGCACTGAATTTGTAAACATAACAGAATTATGTGTAAGTATATGCATTTTCTGTGAACTTCTTGTTCTATGTCCCGTTTCATTCAGAACGTCGTCACGCACGACCCCAATGCCCAAGTAGTTTGTAAGGATTGTGAATACATTGTAGACGCATAAATTACTCTATCATTAATGACCATTAAAAACCTGTATTCCTAAAATGTCTCCAGATTTGTAGCAGAACATTAAAAAATCGCGTAGTACTGTATCGTCATATGCGAGAAATGCACAGCAGCAAGATTGCAAAACACACGTGCAAAATTTGCCATCGAGTATTTGGCAGGGCAACCCATCTCCGAGGGCATACGAAAAGTATGCACAATTCGAAAAATGTCAGGCCACGATTCCCCTGTACGTTTTAAGGATGTGGTAAATCCTTCCTGGACAAGTTTACCGCTACCGCGCATGTGAAAACCATTCACACCGAGGCGAGACCACGACACGCATATGCGCGTTATGTCCGAAAACATTTCTTGACAAGGGATCCGTTCTAAAACACTTTAAAGGAGAGCATG